AAGCTTCTTTTATTGTGGATTTGTAACACTTTTTGGAGTCTGAGAGTGTTCATCCATATCTACTTTCAATCAGCTACATTTCCTCTTTGTATTTCACAGAAGAAACTGAAATAATGTGAGGAAGAATAAATGCTGATCAGTGGTTTGTAAATACCTGGTGACCTGCTGCTCTTTGCAGCTGTTCTGTGGCTGACTGCACACTGATTTCTGCGTTTGATACGTTGGCCTCTATACTGTCTGTAGATGGAGAAAAACAGAGGTAAGACTTTATTATTCACACTTCTACACAGAAAACTGGACCAAATATTCTGAATGGATTATTTGCATAAAAAATGATTATTTGTGCATAACAGAAATGCTTTTGAATAATGCAATCGCCCACTTGGATCATGCATAATTCCCTCAAAACTTTTTTAAAATCCCTTTGTGAGCAATATTTCATCATTCATTTAAATTAGGTATGCATCTTCGGGTTATGCTGGACAGCACAAATAATGATGCAAACTGTTGTTATTCTGATGAAATCTCACATATGTAAACAACGCTTGTTATTAAAAGTTTAGTGCGTGAACAAACAGTCCCACTGAGCTGGTGTGTGTGAAGCCTCGCAGGTCTTCATTACCAGCAACTGCTTTTCCACTTTAACACCTTTAATTGGACTTTCCTGTCTAAGAGTTTCATCACTAAACATCCCCTTTGAGACAAGTCTGAAAAAACCGACATCATTCATTGTGAATTATATCAATCTTTTTATTTCATTCACATCATGTTTTATTTGAATTTCAGAAAATTGGCAAACCTGAATTTTAAGTTAGTTATGTTCTATAAGTGGTGTTAGCTGAAAAAATACAAGATGAAATAGTAAAATATTGGTATAAAACTATTATTCATTTATTCATTCATTTTTCAACACAGTGAAATGAACCGCTAACTATTCTAGCATATCTTTTACGCAGCAGATACCCTTCCGGTACTGGAAAACACCTGTATACTCTAACATTCACACACACACTGATACACTACGGTTAATTTAGTTTATCCAATTCACATATAGCGCATGTGTTTGGACTGTGGGGGAGCACCCGGAGGAAACCCACGCCAACAGGGGGAGAACATGCAAACTCCACACAGAAGTGCCAACCTTCTTAATGTGAGACCACAGTGCCAAACTATTATGATAGTGTAAAATTGCTACACACTTTCCTGTCTAATGGTTTCCTTTCTAAATATTTATTTTCACACAAATAAGTGCTGTAGAGAGCTGGGAAATACCACTAATTATGACAAAAGCAGTGGTATGTTTACCATTAATAGGATTTGAGTTTAATATTATGATAAAAGTGTCTACATTTGAACTAATTTATCTGGTTTGACATACAGTAAGTGTTTAATTTGTTTAGTGATTTAAATGCAGTTTTTAAGCTAACTTTGGTTGGATTGACCATTTTGATGAAAGCAGTACGGGCCTGGTGCTAGAGATTTGGCCATGGATTATTTTGCCATTTTACAGTGGATGCAACGATTAACCGGTTAATTAATCGTAAATGCTACTCAACACCGTGTTTCTGCATAGAACAAAACTGCTGCAAGTAAACAAAGTTATGCCAACTGTGTGCTAACATTCCAAGCTTGTACACCAAGGCTAATGCACAGTGGATAAAGGCTAATTTTAACAATGGCAGAGGATATTAACTAAGGGCGGTTCACGCGTCTTTTGTACGCGCAAGTTTGTTATTTCCAATGGAGGCGAACGGCTTGTGTATGCATATTAGCAGCAGTGTGTAATGTGATTTTACTAAACCAATAGTAATGTCCCGATCAGGCTTTTCTGCCCTGGAGTCCGAGTCATTTGATTTTAAGTATCTACCAATACTGAAACCAGATCCAATACTTCTATAATACACAAAGAATAAAGAAAAGCGAAGAGACCGATCCTGGATGTTCCTTATTTTTATCTTAATTCAACTTATTTTAACATTCAACAACTCTGTGAACAAACAGAGCACTTCTGTGAGGTAGCTTGAACAATCAAGTAATAAACAACATCAATTATTCACTTTAGGACTTTAGTGCAACAGTAAATATAAAAAGAGTCTAATATACAAACAAACAGCAGCTCAACTTAAAATACCTAGCAGGCAGTCCCAAGTTTACATTTCTCAGTTTGCTATAGCAATGTTGTTGTCATCAGTTTTATAAAACCTCCAGACAGCAGACATACCCAAGCTTCAGGCTGCTTCCGTGATCTACTTTTTCCGGCAAGTAATGTCATGCCGTACATGTTGCTGTTTCTGTGTGAAGTCAAAAAAGAGGTCTAACTCTGTGCCACCGCATAACTATAGATGTGTTCAAAAATAATGAGTATATATATACGAGTCCTGATCCGTCCGATTCTGATCAAGTCTAAAGCCCTGTGATCGGCCTGATTTCCAATCACATGATCTGATCTGGACATCCCTATAAACTAGTAGTGTTTTGAAATAAATGAATACGTAATAATCATGAAACTGTGATCATTCCTCAGACTATAATCGTACAACCAAAATCTATAATCGTTGCATCTCTAGTTAGCAACTATCAAGAAATGCCCTGGAAAACTATCAAAAACCATAGCATTGTGCCAGAGAGCGACAATTTATTAATAAAGTGTAAAAATATACACCTTACCAATCATGTCTCCCTGTTCATGCACCATCATGCCCAGATCTCTGAAGATTTCATTAATGTCTGTGATGTCCGACTGAAAAAAACAAGACAAACGTTTTATACATCTTTAAATTCTGCAGAACAAAAAAACAACCATGCAAAAATCACGACAGTAGCATAATGTTGAACCCTTGTTTACACCTGGTTTAAAGATCTGAAAACAAGAGGGTGATGCTAAATTTTACTCTGAACCAGAAAATCTTATATTGTACAAGTTTTTTTTTTTTTTTTGTGTGTGGGAATAGTCAAAAAATACACTGTATGGGTCAAGATTTTTATTTCATGTCAAGGCTCATTGAAATATTAAGTAAAGATCATGCTCAAGGAAGACATTTGATAAATTTCCTACTGTAAATGTATCCAAACTCAATTTTTGATTAGTATTGTACATTTCTAAACACTTTACTTAGACAATTTTAAAGGAGATTATCGTAGTAATTATATTTTTTTTAATCTGCAGACTCCAGACTTTCACCCAAATACTGTGCAATCCTAACAAACCATACATCAATAGAAATATTCTGCTTTTATTCAGATGAATCATACATTTCAATTTCCAAAAAATGTACAATTATTATGACTGGTTTTGTGGTCCATCACAAAAATGCCCACTTGAAACCACATTTTAATGGTTTACTTTTGTAGAGTAAATGCTAATGCAGTTGATTACATTGGAAAAGTCATAAAACTCTGCCTAAAAACCTAATTTGGCTGGACAAATACAGTACAGCAAGGCAAATGTAAAAAGCACAGTGTTTGAAAAAGAAACCCATAGTATTCGAAAGCTAGGAAAGCAGAACTGAAAGCTGCTACTTTGCATTTGGTCGAGTATTTTGTTGAGTCCTTTCACATTTCTTTGTAAAGTGCATAAGCTTACTTATTGAAGATATTAGATCAAAAGATCAGACAAGGCCCATTCATCCACTCATCTAAAGACCCTTCCCTCAAAGACATCAGGAAAGTGTAGGAAGAGATGGAAGTTGTAAACAAGAATGTGTTTCTCCATTCTACTTGTGATCCAGTTGACCCAAACTCATGCTTTGTTTACAACACATATTAAAAGATTTGTTCACAATCCCTTGAGATCTTCGAAACACAAATATTGATATTTTAGATGAAATCTGAGAGCTCTCTAAAGAGCTTTAATATAGTATGAGTTGAGTTGACTTTATTAGTATCTGTAGCTAGATTCTTTTGCAGCAAAGTTTGGCATTTGATACAATTAATGCCCAATCCCAATTCTACCCCTTAGCCCTTCCCCTTACCCCATCGTTTTGCATGTGAACGCCAAGGGGTAGGGGTGTCCCAGTTCTATTAAGCTTGAAGGCGTAGGGCTAAGGGAAAGGGGTGAATCACCCTTCGAACAAAGATTTTTTTAGGACCACACTTAAACCAAGAGGTAAGAAAATTTCCCAGAATACACCAGCCACAAAGGCAGTATTGCTTCAAAAGTGGTATCTATCAATTAAGGAACATTGCCAAATTTAAACTTTTTCTGTCTTTTAAAGAGTTGGAAACCATCATTAATGTTTTTATTATCTCCAGATTCGACTACTGCAACTCTTTGTTTCGCTGGCTTCAATTGCTAGGCTTCAGCTGCTAGGCTTTTTCACTGGGACAAAAAAAAAGTTCTAGTCTCACCAGTTTTATCATCCCTTCTCTGGCTCCCAGTCCAATTTAGGATTCAGTACAAGTTATTGCTACTTCTTTTTAAAGGTTTGACTTTTTATTTTCAATTTATATCAGTGTGCTTCATCCCTGGCACACTTTGTTGAGGCCAATCAGATCGGAAAAAAAGTTTCAGCTAGTTGTTCCCAAAACACGGTTGAAATCAAGAGGTGACAGGGATTTTTCTGTCAAAGCCCGTTTGTGGAATGGTCTGCCTTTACTTATTAGGTCATATTATGCTCTTCCCTTGGTGCTTTTAAGTCTCATTTAAAAAAATCTGTCTTTTGCTTTTTGATTGCAAATAATTAATTTTAATCTGTTTTATATATTTTTCTTAAATATATATATATATATATATATATATATATATATATATATATATATAAACATATATATATATATATATATATATATATATATATATATATATATATATATAAACATATATATATATATAAACATATATGTTTGCTTTATTTATAGAGCACATTTAAAAACAACAGATGTTGACTAATATATATATATATATATATATATATATATATATATATATATATATATATATATATATTTTTTTTTTTTTTTTTTTTTTTATTTATTTATTTTTTTTTCTTGTTTGCTGGTCTTTTTGGTCAACATCTGTTGTTTTTAAATGTGCTCTATAAATAAAGCAAACAAACTTCTGAGGTAAACCGGTGGAGAAGCACAAGCTTTCTGACAGGGAACTGTTTATTCGCACACTTTGTGTTCTATTGGTTAAAAAGTCTAAAATCCAACAAACAAGATTGATACTTAATTGAAAATGATTTAAAAGTCGCTGGATTAAAATGTGAGGATAAACTGTATTAAAAACTGAGGAAAAATCTATAAATAAAAGCCAAGCACGAGCCCCCTTACCCTCAAGATGCTCAAAGTAAATGCAGCAGAATGATTATGGCATCTTCGACACCTCTATTAAGCCTGTATGCAAACTGGATTGGGTCAAGAACTTGTTCTGTACTTTTAACAATTTCTGTCCTTATCATTTTTTCAAAAATATTCATAGGGATATACGTCAGAGCCACAGTCCTTAAATCATTTCAAGTTGTTGAGAGGCAACTGGACCTAGGACATGGTATGACAATAGCGTCCTTCCAAATTTTTAGTACATGCTGTTTTTTCAGAGACTGATTAAAAATATTGTAAAAATTGTGCTCAGCTCTTCTGCACGTGATTTAAGCAGTCGACCACAGACTTTATCTTGTTCAGAACTCTTATTAACTTTAAAAGATTTTAAAAAGTATTAAAAACTTTTTAAACTTGTTCCTGTTTCAGAATAAAGTGCTCTATGTCCAGGAGCTTAATACGAAGCTCCTGAATTTCATTATTAAACTCTTGAGGTATCAAAGCGATTATAAAAAAACATTAAGTGCATTAGCTAAGTCCATATCTGAATTAAAACCTTTTAAAATACAATTTCCGCAATTTTTAGTTCTCACAATACATGAATGACATATCGCCACTAGAGTCAGCAGCGCAACATGCAAGCGTCATATTCCCTCTAGTAAACGCGCACCCTGATCTGATACAGAAGATGTAGACAAACAAAACTGTTTTTACACTTTTGTTGGCGCACAAAAGTGTTCTTGGAGCTTCGTATGATTACAGTTGAACCACTGAAGTCACATGGAGTGTTTTGACGTTTTTGACCACATGTTTGATCATGCATTGCTGTCAAAGTGTAAATATTCCTGTTATCCAATGCGATTGAGCAGCCACAGAACACTATATACTCTTTCAATTTGAGTGTTAGGGGACATGTTGTAAGAACATTTATCAAAACAATTGGTGTATAAGACTTAATTTGGTGATTCAATTAGTTTCAATTGATTGGATTTCAGTATATTAGAACAAAAACACATATCTTTCACTTCCTTTTCCACTCATTATCACGTGGCGTCGGTTTATTCAATTCAATTCAGCTTTATTTGTATAGCGCTTTTACAATTTAGATTGTGTCAAAGCAGCTTCACATAAATGGTCATAGTAACTGGAACAGTGTGGTTCAGTAACTGGAACAGTGTGGTTCAGGTTTTAGTGTTTAAGTTCAGTTCAGTTCAGTTTAGCTCAGTTCAGTGTGATTTAATCATTACAGAGAGTTCAAACACTGAAGAGCCAACTCATGTAATAGTACTTGTGTTGCAAATGTGCTGCATTGAGCACACTTTCATAAAGCATAAAGAAATAAGGGATAAAAGTTTCCACAAAATCTGAAAATGAAAAGCATAAAGAAATGAGAGTGAAGGGTCTTCTCAAAATCTGAACAAAAGTGGCCACAAGAGATGCATTTCAATGTTAAAACCAGGTGGAAACTGCAATATGCACTTGTGATCAGATCAGTGACAATGCATTGTAATACCCAGTGGAAACAGGCCTCACCTCCAGCTGTCTGATCGAAGATTCTCTTTCCTGAATGAGCCGCAGATCTTCTTCTGTGATGTTCTCCTCATAGCTCTGAGCTTGAGCACTGAACTCACTAAAAACACATATGGAAGCAGAAAGTTTTAGACAGTTTTTCATATAATATTTACATATTCATTTATTTATGAAGTATTACTGTTTTTTATTTTAATTAATTTTTTACTCCTTCCTATTGTGTGCATTTATGTTTTTATGATTTTACGTATTTCCTATGGGATTCTATTTGATCACTGAATTTCCTTCAGGATCAATACAAGCATCTAACTAACTAACCTTTGGAATGCTGGAGCAGCTCTTCCAAACACATCATCTATATCTCCACCCTGTAGACAGAAAGAGAATTGTAAGACTTTTTAAAAAAATAAAAATCGCTTAAACCCATTATTCTTACTTTTTACACATACAATTACAAATTAAGTACCACAGTATCTATAGTATGGATCGATGATGCAACAAAATAGTTTTTTCAGTCATGCATCTGATAGCATTGTGTTATGCAAGTGTAAATGCATTCAAGTCTATGGAACATTTTTTTTTATTAAATGCAATAATTTGACACAAATAGTGATGCATACATGTAATAAAAAGTAATATAAAAAGTAAAGATTTGTTGGAAACAATAATAATAATAATTCATTATATTTAGATAGCGCTTTTCTTGACACTCAAAGTGCTTTACACATTGGGGGATCTCCTCATTCACCACCAGTGTGGAGCATCCACCTTGATCAGTGGTGTCCAAACTCGGTCCCGGTGTCCTGCTGAGTTTAGCTCCAAAACACCTACAAGAAAGTTTCTAGTATATCCAGTAAGAGCTTGATTAGCTGTTTCGGGTGTGTTTGATTAGGATTGGAGCTAAACTGTCCAGGACAACGGCCCTCAAGGACTGAATTTGGACTGATTGGTGGATAGGAGACAGAGTGATGAAGCGAATCCTGATATGGGGATGTTTAGGAGACCATGATGGAGAGAGGTCAGTGGGCAAATTTGGCCATGATACCAGGGTTAAACCCCTACTCTTTTCTGAAGGACATCCTGGGATTTTTAACAACCACAGAGAGTCAGGATCTCGGAATAACGTCTCACTGAGCAGTATAGAGTCCCCATCAATATACAGAGGCGTTAGGACCCACACAGACTGCAGGTTGAGCGCCCCCCTGCTGGTCTTACTAACACTATTTCTGGCAGTAACTCAGCTTTCCCATGTGGTCTCCCATCCAGGTACTCACCAGGTGCAGCCATGCTTAGCTTCAGTGGGCAACCATGCGAAAGTTGCAGAGTGCTAGCTGCCGGCAAATCAATCTAAGGCCCCGTTTACAGCTAATATTAGCTAATATTACCCTTCATGACAACTGTGAGGGGGGTGAATTTTTTTATTACTCATCCGTTTCCTTTATATTCAGTTATATTAAGTTTTGCTACGGTTACGCCATCCGTCCACACTACGCCGGAGTTCTCGAGCGCCGAAAACGGAGCTTTTTGAAAACGATGGAAAGGCCGTTTTCATTCTAAAACGCTGCTGCTCCGTCTCAGTGTGGATGGGGAAAGACGGAGATATCTGAAAACGGAGGCGGGGCTGCAAACGTTCGCCTATCTGATTAGGGCTTTTCCTCAATATTAAGTAGCCCACACACAGTTCAGTCTCGCATCCTCTTCTTGTTAAGACTTCGCAAGTTTGATCAAGGCTGCAGTCTCCCCCTTTTCAATTTGATATGGAAAACATACCGAGGACACGGGTAAATCTTCAAAGGGAACAGTGTACTTTATAAATTCATTCACATCACCTTGGCTACGTTGTTTCACTTTCTCAACAATAAAATGTAAACATGATTTAAGGAACTGCCTATTTTCTTTTTAATATTAGCAACTTAACAGACAGCAGAAATGTTGAGGCGCCGTGCTGCATAATGAGCATCATCTTCACTGTGTGGATATTTATAACAAAACAGAGCCTATAACAACTGCCTCCTTTCAATTTCAGTGAAAATACGAAACGCACCCTCTCTTTTGCTGAATATCAGTTTTAATAATCGATAATTATAAAAGTATAACATACAATAAGTTTATACATTGTAGGAAATAAAGGCAAGCGATCAGTCAATGTACCTGGATTAATCATTAACTTATCTTTGCGCTTAACCAAAACATGTTACCCGTGAAGTAACTTAATAGATTCCAACGACCAAAGTCAGGGAATTGGCCTATGTCGTTAGATAAAGACAACAACATGAATGAAATATCACGTTCAGCAAATATAGTGAGATTAGATCCAGCGGGAGATGCTTGATGAGCAGTCCGACAAGCAGAGCTCTCATCTGGGTAGAAATGCTGGAGCGCTTGCCCAAGAGTGTGTGTGTGGTCACGTGATGTGCGTTTTCAGCGTTTTGGTGTGGACGGAGAGCAGTTCAGAAACGCTGGGTAAAACGCGAGTGTGGACGCGGATCGTTTTCATTCTACAACGCCGTTTTAAAACTAAAACGCACTAGTGTAAACGGGGCCTAAGGGAGAAAATACTCCCTTCTAGTGGAAAATGTAATTTCTGTCACTTTTATTATGAACCACCACCACAACATTTGTGAAGAATGGGAAATGCTTTAGAAGTCAGCTACAGCACAAAAATATAGTAAGTATAATTTTGCCTACTTACCATAATATTTAAAAGCAATGAAAGATTATACAATACAAAAAAAAATCCCTTAACATGTGGCATTTAAGTAGTGTGTATATGACAAAAGACATTAGAAACTTGCACTTCAGTGTAAGATATTAGAGTCTGCATAAATGTAATGTCCTATTGGATGGAAAACATGGCATAATATCAAGAAATGATGGAAAAAACTCACTGAAACTCTGGAGCTTGCGCGAACACGAGCCACAAACTCCTTCTCTTTTTTTGCTACCTCTCGCTGAGCTTTCTGGAAGACGGCCAGTACGTTGGAGAATTCAGTGATGAGACGTTCTCGCTGGATCTTTCTTTGCCTCTGTATCAGAACAAAGACTGTTAGAGGAATAGTTCACCCAAAAATGAAAGTCTGGAGGCAGTGAAACATTCTTCAAAGTATCTTATTTTGTGTTCCACAGAAAAAAATAAAGCCATAAAGATTTAGAATAACATCAAGGTGACTATATGAAATGACTATAGGCATACATTTACCGGCCACTTTAATAGGTACACCTTACAAGTACTGGGCTGGACCCCCTTTTGCCTTCAGAACTGCTTTAATTATTCATGGCAAAGATTCAACAAGATACTAGAAATATTCCTCAAAGATTTTGGTTTATATTGTTGCAAATTTGTCGCTGCACTTCCATGATGCCAATCTCCCTTTCCACCACATTCCAAAGGTGCTGTATTGGATTGAGACCTGGTGACCGTGGAGGCCATTTGAGTACAGTGAACTCATCGTCATGTTCAAGAAATCAGTCTGAGATGCTTGACATGGCGTGTTATCCTGCTGGAAGATGGGTACACTAGTTATAAAGGGATGACACCACACCATTACACCACCACCACCAGGCTGAACCATTGATATAAGGCATTATGGATCCATGCTTTCATGTTGTTGATGCTAAATTCTGACCCTCCCATCTGAATATCACAGCAGAAATTGAGACTCATCAGACCAGGCAACATTATTCCATTCTTCTATTGTCAAATTTTGGTGAGCCTGTGCGAATTGCGAACTGCCGCTCACTGGAAATTTTCTCTTTTCAGACTACTCTCTGTAAACCCTAAAGATGGTAGGGATCTCAGTAGATCAGCAGTTTCTGAAATACTCCCACCAGCCCGTCTGGCACCAACAACCATGCCACGTTCAAGTCACTTAAATCACCTTTCTTTCCCATTCTGATGCTCAGTTTGAACTGCAGCAGATCGTCTTGACCATGCCTAAATGGATTGAGTTGCTGCCATGTGTTTGGCTGATCAGAAATCTGTGAGCAGTTGGGCAGGTGTACCTTATAAAGTGGCCGGTTAGTGTATATTTCAATATATTAAGCTACATTCTATTACTCAATTGTAAAGCATTTATAAATATGTGTATGTGATGAAGTATGAGTTTGATAGTACCTGTTCTGTGGTCGCAGGTAAAGAGCTGAAATCTTTCATGCATTTATCTGTCACTTTAGCAAGTTGATTGACACTCTGCTGCTTCTCCTGCCTATTTATTTTGACAAAGACAAAAGAATATATTTGAATTATATACATTTTAGGGATCCACAGAAAGGCCATTTGACTGATATTGATTTTAATAAACTGTTAGCCTATATTCCTAATCATTTGTCCTTAAAACAGATATATTTTATAGTCGGTTTAACGCTATAGCCAAAACACAGACCGTTTTAAATTCATTAATGATTAGCTGATAAAAAATAGGCTAAATAGATTCATCTCTATTTATTTTATGTGCTAAAGGACTGAGATCCAAACTAGATGTTTGTATTTGGCTCACAATGTCTGTCGCAGGTCACTTGTGTCTTGTGCCGTTCCAAGATGTCTCATCAACTGCTGGATTTCATTAGCTGGGAAACAGAAGCAAGATCTAAATCAGCTTTAAACACCTCCCATGTTATCAGGTTACAGAAAGGACTGTTTTGTCGTAAACAAATGTGTTCCGCTTGTACTTGACTTTTTATCTGTTGTGGTTTTGTGAATGTAGCACATTAAATTGCATAGCAGATAAATGGAGAACAACTGAACAAAGAAATTGAAGATGTGAAAACAGAAACATCACCACCATCCAGGCGTGGCTAAAAATACAAGTCAAGTCTAGACATAATCATTAAAAAAGTACGAGTTTACTAACAGTTATTGTTTGGTAAAAAAAACTGATGGTACATTTTTGTAAGCTATACAATTTTTATAGCACATAAATAAGAGTGAATGTACTCACTTAGAAGCGTTATCCTCTGGATGTTTGAACTAATAGTCTGTGCCAGCCCATTGGCATCGACTTCTCTTGATCCATACATGATGGAAGCCTTTAATGAAAGAGACAGAAAACACATTTGTAGAAATCACATTTATTTGCAGGCCTACAATCGCACAATTATCTCTTATACTGCGCTACATAATAACAAGCTTATACAATTTATTCATAAACATGTTTTCTTATATACATTGCTCCTAAAACATACTATTTGAACGTGTTTTTACATATGGCTTATCAATTTCTTCCTTCAATAACATTCAACTATCATTATATTTGATCCTACATGCTACAGAATAGTTTGTATATTAACATGTATGAACTGAAATGCTGGATTTGCGACGTTTTTAATAAATGTCAAGTAGTGACAGACTTTCACGAGTTGTAAACATGTTTTACACAAACTATACATACTTATTAATGTTTAATATTCCCACATTCATTTAGGGACAACTTGTGACATGTTTCCTATATTGTTTACTACTTTAAATATTCGGTCTGAATCATATGCCTCCAAAACAACATTAGCACTATTTAATTGACCATGAACAATGCTGTACTTTAATTGTCATTTGCTGGGAATATGATTTGACTATTTAGTATTAGTAAAGAATAGTTTTCTGAAATTATATTAAGGAGAAAGTCTGAATGTGTGAATATAAACCAACTTTAAGTTACCCTTAAAACGTACTGTACTATTTGGAGACCAAAACAATTGCTCACTATTTTGTATGCGTTTCTTAATTATATTAATGGGGACATTCAAAAATGCTTAACATGAAGAAAGCGGGGCTTAATGTAACTAAACATCAACCAGAAAACCCCAAATTTCTGTCAAACTGTACTTGTAATTAACCCTAATTACTGTAAAAAGAATGAGTCCCAATTAAGCAGATAAATTGAAAAACATCATGTTAGGCGTTTACTCCCCCATTGGAGTCTATTATAAGGATAAAGCTTAACGTGGCTTAATGTACCTTAACAGCAAGTGGGAGAAACCAAATTTCTATAAAAGTTACAAACACTTTCTGATGTCAAAAGAATGAGCTCTTATTTTAGTGGGTAAAAATTATCACGGTATGCAATTCTCCCCACTGAGTCCATTATAAAAGGAAAACGCTTAACATGGCTTAATGTATACCTCAACAAGTGGGGTACACCAAAAATCTATCGAATACTTGTGATTAACACTAACTACTATCAAAAGATCAAGCCCTTAGTCTGTAGATAAAGCGGACAATGTTGTTAAGCATTTTATCCCCATTTCAGTCCATTATAACAGCTTAATGTGGTTTAACTTAACATCTAGAGACAATCAAATTTCTATAGATATATATTCATGAAAAACACTTACTGCTGTAAAAGAACAAGCTTTTATTTTAGTGTATCAAGTGAGCAATATCACTTTCAGCATTCTCCTCACAGAAGCGCATTATAAGGAATCAGCTTAACGTGGCTTAACATATCTTAACCCAGACCAGGGAAACCCAAATTTCTTTACTTGTGATTAAGACAAACTATTTTTAAAAGAATGGGCCTTAATTCCACAGATAAAGTTAACAATATCACGTTAAGTGTTTTCTTCCCCGTTGAAGTCCTTAATAAGGAAAGCTTGACTTAAAAACAGAGGGAAACCAAATTATAAAAAAGCTGTTCAAAAAATCTAACTTAATTTATTATAGATTAACCCTTTGCTGTCAAAAGAATGCACTTGTGCATGTCATTGACATCCCCACAACAACATAGGGAAAAACGCTGTTCACTTAAGCTGTGGAAATGGGGCAAATTTTTAATTTTTTTGCTATATAGTTAGTGCTAACCACAAGTAAAATTTGATAGAAATTTGGTTCCCCCCACTTGTTGTTGAGGTACATTAAGCCACATTAAGCTTTTACTTATAATAGACTTCAATAGTGGAGAAAACGCTTAGCGTGATATTTTTCACTTATGGAATTGGGACTCTGTCTTAACAGTAGTTCGGGTTAATTACAAGTAAAGTTTGATCGAAATGTGGGCTTCTCTGGTTGATGTTTAGGTATATTAAGCTATTGAGGCAAAGTTGGTTTTATATTCGCACATTCTTTCAGTGACAACTTGTGATACACTCCCTATATTGTTTACCATGCTACTTTATATATGAAGTCTGAAATCACATGTAAGTATGACCTAAACATTAGCATTATTTAATTGACTGAGAGCAGCGTGTACTTTGAAAGTCATTAGATGCTAATATGATGTCCCTAATCAGAATGTGCAGTTCTTAGCCAAAATTATATTATTAAGGATAAAGTCTATAGTATAAAATCAACTTAACCTCAATTATTAAGCTTATTTCATGCGTTTTAGAATCTCCCTTAATGATATTACTGTTGTCATTTTGAATTAACGAGAAAACTTGCCCCATATAGTTGCTCACCTTGCTTTGAAATATGCCTTATTAGCTCAATAATTACTCGAAAATAGCTGGCGTAATGTTGTTTATTGGTTAGCAGGCTAGTACTAAACAGATGACTAGTAAAACCGATCTGCGCTGCACCTGCAAAACGAAAGAATGCGGAAATCACGGCTCACAAACTCACAAACACGCATTTTCATTTATAAAACTAGACAGCTATTGTTTTAACTTTGCTGACACACAACAAACATTAACATTCGGGAATCTTACAGTGTAGTTTCATGTCAAGTGAACACAAATCGCGCTGTCAACAAATATGCTTCAGTGAATGAACTTTGCGCTTGCTACTTTACTGACTTCTCTTTTAAACTACCCTCAACAACTATTTACGTAAAGTCTGCACACATGTACAGTTTATAAATACGCATCGTTTACTTTAATATGTACTTTGGTTGTTCGGTTTACCTGGATTTCCTGAGTGAAACTCCGAGCCCTCAGCTGATTTCTTTGACGCGCGGGTCACGTGACTTCTGTTCTATCTTCCGTGTGCGTTCAGAAACATGTAGTAGATTAGTAATGTACTTGACGCATATACTAAACTATTGAGTTTATGTACTATATGTTTAGATCGACAAATACTAGGCAGATGTCTATTATTATTAACTTACCCCAATTAAAAAAGTAAAAAAAAAAAAAAACTAGCCTACATAACAAAAATAAAGTAGACTTTAACTTGGTTTCCACATGGGTAATAAGTAGCCTAACCTTACTAAAAAGAAGTATACTTCACGTTCCTTTTTATTAAGTATAGTTAGTTAATATTGATATATCTTAAGCATACTTCACATAAACATTTATGTAGGCTACTAGTAGTATAGCTATGTGGTTCCCAAATTGGGGTTTGTGAGACAATGAGGGTGGGTTGCTTGGTGATTTCTCTTTAATATATGTTATTAAACTATTAGAATAGCCATATTTTATCCATAACTTACAGAAGATAAACATGGTATTTAATAGTTAAATAAAATAACAGCATGCAAATAAAAAGCCATCAGCCTTTCAATTCTTTTCCCATTGGATTCCAACCCCTGGGGTTATTACACTAGATTAATGGCACAATGTTAAACTCTGACACCTTTACGGCACGCGTGTACATAAAAAATAAAGGCCACGACTACACATAGAGGACGATCCCCAAAATTAAACCAAGAATAGTCTTGTGCTGCAAACAGTGTGCTCACCGTTGTCATTAAGTGAGATTAATAGTAAATTAAATATTGACAAAAAAAATTATTTATATATATATAAATATATATATATTATATATGTCGCTGCGAGTTACTGAAAGTTAGCGTCATAATCTAACGTGCTAACCACTGGACCACAACAGTTGTATATGAAGGACTGACTCATCTGACTAATATCGTCATTAACCTGCAGGCTGGTCATATATAAAAAGAGCAGAGCTGCGGTAAAATGATGAATAAGAAGACTGTAGTCAAGTAAGTAAATAAATTAATTTAAAAAGTGTGACTGCTGAGAGCAACAGATTCTAGAGCTAGGGACACCGGCCCTCGCGGCCAAAAAACGCACCGGCCCACCGGGAATTCTCCCGGTCCTCCCGATTAGCCAATCCGGGCCTGATACACACACACACACACACACACACACACACACACACACACACACACACACACACACACACACACACACACACACACACACACACACACACACACACACACACATACATACATACATACATATATATACATACACACACACACACTCACACACACACACTTACACACACACACACACACACACACACACACACACACACATATATATATATATATATATATATATATATATATATATATATATATATATATATATATATTTAATTATTTATTTTTTGTGTGCACTGTTTGTATGTTGTACTGTTTGGATTGCGAGTCACTGGAATTGTTATTTTGGGGCTCACTAGCTGAATAGTTTGGGAACGCTTGTTATGAGCTACTTGTAATACTTGAATATATCATAGAACTAAATTGGCTAGCTTTTAGTGTAGTATAAGTGTGACAGTACACTTTAAGTGTACAACTAGTCATAATGCTTGTAGTAAATGGTTAGTTTGCCCCAAGCTCAGAATTTGGGCTTCGAATTAACTACAACTACACACACACACACACACACACACACACACACACACAAAAAATAATGCAATCGCTCTTAGCGTACTCTTTGTTAAATTTTAGTTTTAGTGTTGTAGGCTATGTGCAAGTTTACTTAAAGTATACAAAAAACACTCAATTCATATATGTTGAGAATTACTATAATTTAACTACAGTTAAAATATACCTTGCACAAAATTAGTTCTTTTAAAAGTAAAATTTGTTAGCAAAATTAACTAACCATCAACAAATTTGTAATGTACTGTAATGTAATGTGTGTATTTATAAAGCGTATTTATCTTGTATGGCCATACACCCAAAGTGCTTCACAATCATGAGGGGGGTCTCTCCACACCACCACCAGTGTGCAGCATCCACTTGGATGATGCGACAGCAGCCACAAGACAATGGGGCCAGTGCGCTCGCCACACACCAGCTGTTGGTGGAGTGGAGAGACAGTGATAGAGCCAATTCGGTGGATGGGGATGATTGGGAGGCCATGATTGTAAGGGCTGATTGAGGGACTTTAGCCAGGACACCAGGGTTATACCCTACTCTTGCCATGTGCCATTGGATTTTTAATGACCACATAGGGTCAGGACCTCGGTTTAACGTCTCATGCGAAAAACGGCACCCACTGACAGTATAGTGTCCCCTTCACTCATACTGGGGCATTAGGACTCAAACAGTCTGCAGGTTGAGCACCCCCTGCTGGCCTCACTAACACCACTTCCAACAGCAACCTAGTGTTCCCATGTGGTCTCCCATCCAGGTACTGGCCAGGCTCAGCCCTGCTTAGCTTCACAGAAAAAAAAAACAACAACAATAATATCTTCTAATATCTAGTAATATATAGTAATATATTTAAAAACAAAACATCTCACAAGCACTCAAAATAAAATTCTCTATCATGTATATACCTTTATAAACGCTCTTTGTGTGTCTGAGGCCGTACTCGCACCATGTACAGTTGCCTCGAACCGGGCCAAAGCACGCTTGTCCCCCCTCCCGTCTCCCCCGACGGCCCGCACTCACACTACAATCGGGCCTGGGCACACTTACGTCATCGCTGCTGCGCTGTTCAGTAAGTGCTCTCGCTCCAGTGGAGACTTCTCTAGCTATATCGTTTCCGTCGTTTGATATGCAGTGACATGCAGTCTAATATTTCGCCAAACAGTCCTTAGGGATGCTGTGACACGCAGTCAGATATTTCGCCGAACAGATTTTTGCCGAACTGCCACTTTTGGCGCTCATAAACAATCAAAAAGCCCTCGCACTGCAGGAATTATGAGGTTTGCTGAAGGTGCACAGCTGTCATGCTGTGGGGAGTTTGCGTATTTAATAAACTACGGCAGTTTGCGTTCACTGAACAGTAAGATTGATTAACAAATCCATATGAAAGTCCCCTAAAAGTCACGTCTCGCTTTCAGTTTCGGGCTTTGGCACGTTTTGCACTCACACTACAAGCGTTACGCACCAAAGCCCAAGTGAATCTGGCTCAAGCACACCTCTTCCAACCGGGCCAGGGTCGGCCAAGTCAACTGTGCCTGAGCCCGATTCAGTGCACTTACACTTCTCAAACGATCCGGGAAACGGGCCTGGGCACGGTTCGGATAGCATAGTGTGAGTACGCCCTGAGAAGCTGAAAATATGCATTCCATAACATTCTGTGTCCAGTGGTGAAGTGTAACTGGAGAAGCCGATCAGAGATACTGTACAGAGGGGGTGCATCCAAAGCGGATCAAATAAATCAATGAGTTTATCCATAACTAACTAAAAGGGCATCAGTGAGCAAGAAAACATCTCCATGTTTGATTTCCTTCATTAAATTTAGTACAAACACTTACAGTTTTTTTGCTGATGAGTGTGTATGTGATACAAATAATTAATAGATATCAATTGGAATCAGGCTCCCTTGTCCTAAACACCCAGAATGCATAGCGATGCTTATGACATGTTCCCTAAGCTCTATACTGACAATTAATCTATCTGCAAGAATACTTAGCATATTTGTTTTTCACTAAGGTAGGCCTGCGAAGCAGTGGCGCAGTAGGTAGTGCTGTTGCCTCACAGCAAGAAGGTCTCTGGGTCGCTGGTTTGAGCCTCGGCTCAGTTGGCGTTTCTGTGTGGAGTTTGCATGTTCTCATGTTCTCCCTGCGTTCGCGTGTGTTTCCTCCGGGTGCTCCGCTTTCCCCCACAGTCCAAAGACATGCAGTACAGGTGAATTGGGTTGGCTAAATTGTCCGTAGTGTGTGTGTGAATGTGTGTGTGTGTGGATGTTTCCCAGAGATGGGTTGTGGCTGGAAGGGCATCTGCTGTGTAAAAACTTGCTGGATAAGTTGGCGGTTCATTCCGCTGTGGCGACCCCGGATTAATAAAGGGACTAAGCCGACAAGAAAATGAATGAATGAATGAATAAGATAGGCCTTTGTTAAATTAGGGCATTTAAGCAGCTTTTAATAAAAATAAACAAATACAGAAACTCCAATGACATGGATGTACTTTAAGATCTGTCGCTGCGAGTTACTGAAAGTTAGCCCTGAGCTTTATCTCAGAAACTTGGGAAAAATACAATATTATGTGAGAGAAATATTTAATAGGCCACTCAATTAAAGGAGTAAAGTCAACTACAAATTGTCCTAAAACTGGCGACACGTTGGCTCAGTGGTTATCACTGTCGATTCGCTGCAAGACGGTCGCTGGTTTGAGTCCCGGCTGGGTCAGTTGACATATCTGTGTGGAGTTTGCATGTTCTCCCCGTCTTGCCATTTAAATTAACTGTAGTGTATGTGTGTAAATGAGTGTGTATGGATATTTCCCAGTACTGGGTTGCAGCTGGATGGGCATATGTTGAGTAAAACGTATCCTGGGTAAGTTGGCGGTTCATTCCACTGTGAAAATGAATGAATATGTAAATATATGAACTTGTCAGCTTTTTGTATATGAAATATATTTAAGTGTAGTATGACTGTGGCAGTAGTTCACTTTACGTGCACAACTAGTCGTAATACTTGTGGTAAATAATTAGTTCGTGAACTTTGTCCCATGCTCAGAATTTGGGCAACAAATTAACTTTTACAACTGCACTATACGCAGACACACACAAACACACACACACACACAATAATGCAATCATTCTTAGTGTAGTTAACTAGCAAAACATAAAATTTTGGGTCCAAACCAGTTTACTGATTGGCAGACAAATAATTCTTAGGAGCTGGAAATCAGAGGAGGCCCCTTCCTTCCAAGAATGGGCAGTAGAACTTGCTAGAGTGGCCGCATTTAAAAAAATGTCTCATAAGCAAATGGACAAGCTAAACCTATACTTTAAAAAATGGTTCA